TCCAAAAAATCTGGTAGTCTACACTTCTTATTTTGAAAACAGCATTAAAGTACACAAGTACTTAAATAACTGAGGGGAAAACAGGTTGATCTGATTGTATCACTTTCTCTTCCAATATACAGCTGAACATAGTCAGTTTACTATGACAGTGCAAGCAATCTAGCACAGTACACGAGACCATATCATTAACCCTCATCAATTCTGCAGGTATTGCCAGTGCTCTAATTCAGGAAACAAACCACGTCCATCTGGGCAGTTTTCTTTCTGGAGTTCCAGACAGGCTGCTGTAAAGGAGATCACTTTACAGACTGAAGCCTGGTCTTGTAAGATCTTGCACAAGCAATCCCAAAATAACTTTTAATTGAATTCAGTCTGCCATACTTTAAAGAAAGGCTGCAAATGTGGACTTCTGTTTAATGCTTTACATGCCCTGTGGAATCAGCTGCCTGGCAAGAAAGAAAAAAAATCATTCAAAATCATAGGGAAGATGGGTCAATGAGAAATAATGGGGAACAGTTGCTTGCAAGAAAAGGGATTACTCAAAAAACAGTTGTGAAGAGGAGTCAGGAAAGGATCAGCCTTGCCTCTGAAATGATAAAAACTGTTACACAATTGCTTTGGTAAAAACTTCAGCAGGTAAGGGAATTACTTCCCCAGAAGGAGCATCCATTTCATGGCTGGATACTATTTCAAAAACCAGCATTTGAAAAAAGTAAATGTTTGAAGTTCTGCCCACCACAACCAGCTGGAAAACAAGCGAAGTAGAGGAATCCTGTCCACAGCATTCAAACAGATACTGCTCTGTGCTTGTACCTTTCTATCCACTTCATCTAGAGGGTCCAAAAGGTATTGGAAGATCAATTAGAGGTGAAATTCTGTAAGTGTTAAATGAAAAAACAGCTCCACATCATTCTGGAATTTATATAAACACGTGGTTCCCCAGCATAATGTGGACAGCCTTCAGCATCTAAAAACACCTCCGAGCAAATCTCACCTTTTCGACCAGCACAGTGCTTGGCTGCTTCTCAATAGGTAACAAGTACGTTAAATGCTTTGTTTTCCACAGTTACAAGTGAAGCAAAAAGATGATGCAAAAGAAAAATTAATACTGATTTCCAAAGAAACATGCACACTCTGACACAAATCAACTCCTCTGGTTAGGGATGCCAAGCAGAGAACCATCACCGTGCACTACCACCTCATAGTTTACAGAAAGATTCAGAATAAAGCATTCAAGCCCCAAAACTACACCGTGTTCAGCTTGGTAAATCAAAACTTTGCTACAAAAAATAAAAAAAAATAAAAAAAATCCAGATCTTTTACAGAATTTAGTCTTCCATGCAGTTACAACAAATATCACTGCTTCAGATACTCAAGCCACTTTTCCACAACAGCCACTCTGACCTCAGCTCTTCTTGAAAACTCCAGGCAGAATGGCAGTGTGAAGCCTGACCTCTGCACACCGTGCATTTCAAAGACTGCCAACACTGCTGAATTACAATTTGCTCCAATGCAAATGAACAAAATCTTATCAAACCAGATGAGTTGCACTGTTAACAGGATAGCTGAACTTAGCTAATTAAGAACGCAGCCCACCTGTTAATCAGACAAAGGAACATAATAGCGTTTGCAGATGCTGGATGTATACACTGGAACTGGTTTTCAGGAATCAGCAAAAAAGTTCATCCCACACTCATTAAAATTGCACAGATTTAGGAACCATTCCTTAGATCACTACGTACAGAGGGAAAGGACAGATTGCTGGTCTTCCCATCAACACAGCCATTCTCAAATGATCCCTGTAACAAACACTTTGGTGATGGACTTAATCAAACACCCTCCAATAATGCAAGAGCAAGTAAACAGTAAGAGTTAGACTCAGATTTTTGTCTAACCTGCTCCATAAAGACTACAGAAGGTGACAGCAGAATGTTGGCTTATTACAAAGGTCCACTAGTTAGAAAGCCTTCACTCACATTCATTTCGCTGCACGTTACCCAATTTCTTCTTGTAAACGAACAAAAGACACCAACTTAACTCTGCTCTCATACAGCAGAAGACTGTTAGCACGTGTATCTCAGTCTTGTGTCTTACTAACCCACTGCTTCAATCTTCAGGTGACACAGGTGAATATAAGTAAAAATACCCACACCAGATGAAATGTTACTGAAAGTCCCCATTCTCCAATTTTCTCATCTCTGAGCTAACTTACATGAGATAAGATTTATACACTTTAGGAAGAGTAAGTTTCCTTTACAAACAGTTCTACAGCTGAAAGCTGAAAATCATTAACATTTACTTACCTGATTTAAGGTGACAACAATGGAAGGGAAGCAGGCAGATTTTGACCTAATTTGCAGCCTGTATTGAGAACAGTATCAGCAGTGACACTCCAGAACCATCTCTCCTGCTGTGGTGATGTACCATTTTGACAGCAGATTTTAGGGCACCTTCCCCCTGAGGAGAAGCTTTGCTGCTTGGAGAAAACGACTCACACATGAATATATGCTTTGCTTTTGCTGAAAGACAAAACAGAAGCAGGGGGAAAAAAACTTTAAAAGTTAAACACTGCTTTTTAACCGCATCTTAATTTGGGACTGCAATGTACCCATATTTATAAGCAGTAAGATGCTAGGTCACTGAATCAGTAGGTTTCAAGAATAGGCCTGTTAACAAGCCTGCTGCTTGGGACTGATGGATGGTGTAGGATTTCTTGCATGGTAACTGATCACTGAGGTCAGACAAAGCATAAAGCATTCTCAAGAACACACAGCATCTGAAACAAAGGAGACAAACTTTAGGTGTCAGAAGTGTTGGTGCTTCGTGTTGTTTGTTGCTGCCGTGTGCTTGCAGGGTTTTTGTTTTCTTTTTAAATTAGAACTGCTCTTTTTTTTTTTATTTAAATCCTAATTTTATGTAGCAATTGTCAGCCACTAAACAGAAAATACTCAATGTGGAATTTCCCATTCACATACACTGTCCTGAATTTCAGCCCTTGAAGAGACAGCAGTACACATGAATGTCAAGAATTCACCTGTGACTTTCATCTACCAGCCTCAGTGGATGTAAGTCCCTACTGAAGAATCACTCCAAAAATTTCCAAAATGCTGTTAATAAAGGAACTTCCCAGTAATCCAATCCCCAAACTTCCACTAAGTTCAGAAGAAGCAGGAATAGTCCTAACACAATTAATCTGCCCCCTCAGTATCACCATTCTTCATTTCTAACACTATTATGGCAGCTCTATTTGAAATATATGCTTTAATTACTGTAATGAGAAACAGACACTATGAAATATAAACAAACTTTATTTCAATTTTTTTTACACAAAAAATGAAAACAGCTGAACAGCTATTAGTACTGAGAGGTTTTCTTAAGAATTTAATGGCAAACGTTCAACAAAATGTAAGCATGAGGAACTTCCTGTGTTACTCACGTGGTTGTAATCACATTCTTCATCTTGGTTTCTGCTTTACTTCCTCCAACTAACTAGTGAAGTGCAGTGCTTTTAATTAAAATGATAGTAGTGAAGTGCAGTGCTTTTAATTAAAATGATAGACAGTAAATTGCACAAGCATTCGACCAGTGCGTTACATTTTGTCTGAGGAGACAATCCTCCTACTTCCTCCTTTTCACATCATTGTTACACACTGAGCAAAATGTGCAAACTATGCATCTTTTTGATATTTAACTGAATACCAGAAAGTTAGCCTGCTGTAAGGTATGCCTACCTGCTTTTTTATTCTGCAGCTACTGAATATACTGAAGAACAACCAAGGCACATCAGGAAAAAAAGGCAAAAACACAATAATTCACCATTACTTATCCTTTGTTTTAGAATCTGACAGAAAACACTGTGCATAATATCAACAGCGTTTTTATATCACCTAAACAATTACATCCAAAGTCAAACTGCATTCGTGCCTTTGGGCTCTCAGAGCCTTGAACCTCATATCCAGTATAACAGTGTGCAGCTGCTGGGCACGCAACCGGGAATAGGTAGGAAGGTGAAAGAGAATGGCACATTAGTGGGAGAACAGCTTATGTGTTTTGCAGCAAATATAAACTTCCCCAGCTTACATTAATAGCAGGTGATACATTCTATTTAAACCACATCTTTTTTTTTCCCTTTTACACTCAATCTGTAACTTCATAGAGAGAGACTTCACATAGCACATGTTGGTGATCATATCTCTGAAAAGAAATCATTAAATTGCTCATCCTAGCACCAGGTTAAGTGAGTGCTAAAGAGTTTCAAACAATTCTGTGCCGAAAGACAAAACCCATTTTTGTTCAATCACACCTCTCCAGGTCTGAAAATAGTTCTAGGAGTATCTTTCAGATGAATTTTTTCCCATAAACAAGAAAATAAGTCTAGGCAATGAATGGTTTTTCAGAATGATACTCAAAAAAAGCATTATGTTAGTTAACATCTCTGAACAGACAGATAAGCTGCCAGCAGGGCAGAGAATAGACAGCCTGTGCACAGGGACAGCCGAGCTCCCAGCTCTGCTCTCAGCCACTCCAGAATTAAGTCCAGGAATGCTTTCTAGAAAATGAAGAATTCCAAGTTCACTGTGTTAAGGCAAGACCTCCACCAGCCTGCAAACTACTACCACTGCTCACTGGACCTCAAACGCGATACATATAGAGTTGAACAGCTGAATTTCTACAGCTCTATAAACAGCTTATGCACAATATAATTCAATGTAATTTCCAAACCCTCTTAAACAGGAAGACAGGTATTTCTAAGAAGTACAAGTTAACTAAATCTATTCCTTGTATGGCTTATGCATCTTCCTTTCCATGAAAAGTCTAAGCCTAGACTCGTGTGATCCAGCTGTTGTCCTCATGGCAGTCTTTTCAAGTGACAATTCACATCCCATCCCAGAAGAGTTGTTCATCTCAAATCAAAAATAAGTAATTGCATAGTTATAAATAATTGCATAGTTTTAAAGTTACACTTTAAAAGGGTTTATTGTTTTTTGTGTTTTTTTTTCCTCTGTGATGGATGAAGAAAACCTGTTGTCTGAGAATACCAGCAGTCAAAGAGCCTGGCTACACAGAACTTCAGGGAAAAAAAGCTTGGTAAAAAACAGTTCTCTTTCATCTTTAAGATGCATCAAAATGGAATGACAAAGATCACATTTTGATTCCCAACTCATTTTTATCCAATTTTTGAGTCTAAGCTCACAAAATCTTCTGCAGTTTTGCAAATAGTAGTTAAAAAAGAAAATGAAGAAACCCAAATAAATAAATTTGCAAATATTTTGTGAATTCTGAATCTCACTTTACAGTTCACATCAACGCCTACCCCTGTCATTGTCTCCAAAACCTACGAAGCCTTTGCCTTCGCATTTCCTCTTCTGAATGCTGCTCAGGGGGGAACCAAAAGCCGTAGGGTCGCCGCTCATTATTGTATGTTGCTCCACCAAAACCTAGAAGACAATGAAAAACAATTGTTATTTTTTTCTGTAATTTGAAAAAAATGCACACATACCCTGCAATCCAAAACACCACAACACAAAGGAAACAAGGCATTGAATGTTTCCAATTCCAATGGTTTCAGGACTATCCACTTCCAACAAGTGCTCTTAAAACTCTGAAATGGAAAACAGCAAGAACACTCCCACACCAAGTGTATCAACTTGGGAGCACGCATTTTTCACAATCTCCACTTCATACAGTAAACTCCAGATTGTTACAATATTTAGACATCCTCAATAGCTACTTCTGGCAAAACAAGCTTCTGTATTTGCTTATATAATAGCAGTACATCATGCTGACCCATAACAGATGCACAAACAGGTCCATATTCAGTTGGCAGCAAGCAGTTTTGGAAATAAACTAAACTAAACTTGGCACCTCAGCTAGAGAGAATTGCAAGTTAAAGTGAACGGAAATCTCACCAAGACTGAAGGAAGGTTCTCTGCTCCAGCACTGCAGGAAAAAACAATGCACGCAATAGAAAACAAAGCAAAGCAACTGCTCCAAATTCACATTAAGTTACAGAGCAAAGAGAAGGATTAAAAGGTTGTGGTTGCACACAACCTCAACCAATGGGCCTTGGGAAACAAAAATGAGAAACTATTCTCTGAGCTAATGGAGAGTGTTCAGGTTAAAGAAATTAGCCTTAAAGATAATGCAGCAGTCTTTGTGATACCTCGTATTTCTTAAACCTCCACCTCAGGATCTCATATCAGAACAAGCAAACAATGAAAACCAAAGGCAAGTACGCTATCATGCTCGTTTTCAAAATAGATATTTAATTGCAGGTTGGAGTGAGCAGGTGAGACCTGTTTACACTGGGTATTAACAGAAAGCCCAATTTATGAAGGGGTTCTTCTAATTTCTGCTTCATTTAGAAGAGCATTTCAATTTGTAGAGCACTTGCCTAATGCAGTATTTTGTGAAAATACAGAACGTGGTCAGAATTTCTTTTGCGCTTGCCAAGTAGGGAAGCTGTGGGAAAATGCATCCAGAGATAACTGCAGCTGCCCAAACACAGCTATGCAGCAACAACAGCATCAACGTTTAGAAAACAAGATGCATTGTGTGGAGTATTTTTTAAATTCATTAATACACAGAAAATTAATGTGTATTTTAGTATTTTATCTTCAGTTTGTCCCTCTGCTTTAACTACCGGAGACAAATCTGAAAATAAATTTAAGCTGTTTCTTTGTGTCTGGAAAGGGTACTTCATTGTTTGACAAATGTTACATGAACTCCCTGGAACTTACCATCACTTACCCCATGTAGACGCATTATTCTCTAGAGCAAAACAGCACGCCAGCTAGGGAATTCATCAAATTTCAGTGAGGAACTAATGTTACCTCATTTTGAATGCATTTCAGTAGCTTATCTTAATACTGTGACAATTGTGAATATACATGCATGGCAGCAAGTGCAGATGGGCATTAGAAAAATAATGATCAGAGTACTACATAAACCTGATGTGCATTGGAAACCCTACAGCTCAGCACAGGTCCCATCTCTGGTTAGTTTTGTTTTTCACTTTAAATCCAAGAGTAAACTCACCGTCTTCAACAAATCAGTTAACTTGATGTGCAGCATGAGCAGAATGGGTTTCGTTAATTAAAAAGATTCAGCAAACTTAACATTCATTCACTACTTTTATTTCACCTCATTTTACTTTCTCATACATAGAATGTGTGTTTGGAAACAAAAACACACAGTTGTTTAACTGTATCCTACGAGCACAAACGGAGGGATGTGAGCTTGAAACTTTCCATCACCCCGTAAACATTCTTCCTGAAGTGAAAAAAATCCAAAAACTCCAAATTGGAAAGCACGAAGCAAAGTGGTCAGCAGACATCAGACCCTTCCACAATAGTACCAAGGGGAAAAAAGGCCCCAAACCACCCAACAGATCTTTTAATGCCAACATTTGTGAACGCCTCATATTGTGAAACATACTGGAATACTATTTTATCCGTGAGCAAACCGTTAAACACTGCATTTGTTACAACGCTCTCAGTAGTGATGTTTATGTCAGTGCATGAATGTTTCATAAGATCAATCGTTGCAATTCTCAGTTCTTTTTTTAATTGCTATGTTACACCTGGGGTAAATAAACAGAAAATAATCAGCAAGTTAAGACTGATCAGTCTTAAGATATGAATGTCTTCCTTCTGACATATGAAGAGCAATACAGTCATGACTGTAATCCTGCTAATTGCTGCACCGTACAGCATCAAAACAGCACTGTTTTGGTTTTTCTTTTTAATCATCATTAAAACATTTCAACTTAAAAAAATACTTTCCATCATGCCACTGTCCATGAAATACCAAGGAGTCTCATGAAGCTGTGAATTTTTCTATGCAGCACCTGTGGTCAGGTTTTACTTCAGAAACCAGATACCATTTGCAAATTAAGACGAGTTCTGGCAGAGCGCCCCAGCATCCGCTCAATTCATTAAACACAAGGAGCTCCAATAACCACTAGAAATGGAACAAGATTTTATAACAAGGATGCAAAACGCTCCTCTATCTGCTGACACCAAAATAAGGCGAGCAACGTATTCCGAAACCTTCATGAGAAGATATTTTTGTACATCAAACAACACGCTGATGAGTGAAGTTGTTTCAGGGAGTCTTAAAATAGGAACATAAATATATAACTGCGTAGACCTAAATTACGCCATTACCCAAAATAGTTCTGCCGCCTTTTTTAATTACAACAGAAATATTAATGAAGTAACAGCCTTACCTAACCAAAATATTTATAGGCCACGTTGTTCAGAAATGGTAATTAGGCCACAACCGCACAAGAGAACACAATATTTTCAACACATCAGCAAAAAACTTCCAGACTAAAGGGCTTCAAGACTGCGTTTACAGTATTCCAAAAACAGCAGTAACAGCAGAGAGACAAAACAAAGGATACAGCACAGAAATTAGAGCACTAAACCCCCAATACCATACTTCAAAATTAATTTTACTGTGAATAAGAACCGTCTTCTGTGTATAAGGAGAATAGTCTTACTGTGAGAATTTTCTTTGTTGCTGAAGTTTACAGTTACAGGAGCAGCAACAGAATAGAATGACTGTAATTGCAAATAGTCTAACTAAATCTGTATTGCTCTCAGAGATAGGGTTTGGGTGGTCCTGCGTGGAGCTGCAGTTGGACTTGAGGATTCTTGTAGGTCCCTTCTGAATCAGGGTACTCTAGGATTCTGACACCTTAATATACACTTCCACAAGGCTTAAGGATCACTATATCTGCCTTATCTTTGCTTTCCTGTGACTGAGATTTGTGCAAGAAAGGAAGAAGTTGTTGAGGAACTGCAAGGTTTATAGAAAGCATGATTACTGCAGGCGAATTATTTTCCCTGAACACGTGCCAATGGACGCTGCAGTACTGGACGAGGAACAGCCACATCACCATTTCTAGTTATTCAGAAGAACATTCATCTGTTGAATGATAGTGAATGTGAACCTGCAACCACACACACTGCAAACACAAAGCAACCAGACCACTCCACAAAGGAGCACACGGATTTCCCACAAACTCTGGGGCTGTTGATCAAGATGTGCAGCAGCTGCCTCTGGCAGCAAAGCCAAACCCAGCAGCCAGCTGGCAGTGCCAGGAGGCCATTTGGTTCATGTTCACCTACACATTGATCTCTAAACAAGATCAGATCTAAGGACAATTTGAAACATGACATACTGTCAGTGTAATAATAAAAAGTCATAAAATGTCTGAAGTGTTCATTTTTCTCCTCTGCATTAAGTGTGGTATAAGGAAGAAAAATAAGACAATCACCACGCAGAGTTTTCATTCTACCTTTCGTACCTATCACAGAAATACTGCCTCAAACACTCAGTTCCTCCTGCTCTCTGAGGTAATGGCCTCAGTTTTAGGTAAGGCAGTAGGATTTTCAAGAACTTCCAAAAGCGTCAGGAAGATTGAATATCAAAGACAAAGTGGTTTTGTATGCTGCTGCACATTGACAACGGCAGGGCATGTTTGTGCTATTACTATATGTGTATAATTATAGATACTTGGTTTTTTTTAAATGCAAGGAACAGACTCTCAATAGAAAAAAATATGGAAGAGATGCAAACCAGTCTTAGGACTGTAAGGACACTGCCAGGATTTTGGCCAACAAGACAAAAGGAGATTTATACTTTCCACAAAACTACTAGAAAATACTTATTTATGTAGTCAGACATCAGGAAAAGATTGAGAGCATTTTTGAGACAGTCCCAAGAAACAAAGTGCAAGCTACACTCATTTGTACAATTAATCCAGAGACAATAAATAATAAAATAGTAAATTAATGGGGAATTCCAAGATTAGGATTATCCATAGATCTTAGTTTGGAGAAGCTTCTAGTGGTAAACTAGGTTTGTTCATGTTCTCAAGAAATTTAAAATCATGTTTGGAAAAAAAAACCTGTTTTTCTTCTAGTGCATTTCTGCACGCCTAACAAAGACACAACAAAGAAACTCCAAACAATATCCATTTCCCAGAGCCAAGACCAAGAATCCCAGACAGATGGATGGAAGCACCAATGACGACCGAAGCCACTCTGCAGCAACTCCCTCTTTCTCCAGAGTGGAAGAAAGCACTTTTATGTAGCCCCACACAGCTTCTTCTAATTACATCCACAGCTGTTCAGCAGAAGGGCCCGTTCTCCAGCAAGGTGACCCTGCCAAACCCACTGTGGAAGGAACATTTCTTCCTCTATGAAAACGTTACTAAGGGAAAAAAAGTCCAGAGACCACTGAAGTCAATAAAAAAGCTCCCATTTGTATCACTGAGTCTTGGATCAAAACGCCAAGAACAGACCATCTCCATATGTAGATCCAGCTTTTGTAACAGAAGTAGCATGAATGTAAGGAAAACATTTCTAGCCACAAAGGTTTAACTATTTATTTATTAAAATGTTTTCTTGCTGTTTTCCTTGTCAGTCAAATCTCATGTGAAGGAAAGGGTCCAAAAGAAAGCTGTACTGGTGGTACCTTCAAAAACATTCTCATATACTTAAGTAGTACAGGAAAAAAAGCAGTATTCTGTGTATTTTGTAAGGTGCAGATCTACATCGATACTTTGTGTCAGCAGTAATGCCTGTATTTTAAGTGCAAAGATAACAGTTACTGAGACTTCTATATGATCAACTCCTTGGTAGCAGAACCTGGGAACTGCCCTGTCACCGTCAACTTATTGCCTAAAGACCAAAGGAACTCAGCCACACCAGGCAGCCTTTCCAAAAATACCAGCTACACTACCAAGGTTTGATGGAAGGAACAAAGGATGAGCTGCACCACGAGTGTCGTCATCCCCAGATGTCAAATACTGCAATTAGTAACCTTAACACAGCACTGCATCCAGCCTAATTAGAGAGAAGCGAGCAAAACCCATTTCCTGGAAATGTGCCCCAGCAGAGCACTGGTGGTCAGGAACACAGACCACAGGTGCAGTTTCAGGAAGCTGTAGAGATCTGTGTTAGAAGCAGCGTTACTCGGGAGAACTTTCTGCCCGGAACACATTGCTGAGCACATAAGATCAAATAACACCTAAAGAAAAAAAAAGCTGGACTTAAAGAATCAAGACACCAATCTTAGCACGGGTATTTTGAAATGTATTTCAGTCTGGTATCATGAACTGCACATATGAGCATAGAATTCATTTTAAGACATTTCTACAGAAAGCCATCCATCAAATACAATGACTAGCATTCCCACAGTAGCAAATGGGGAAGATAGCTCTGAAGAAAGATGGAATTATACATTTGTTTCATAATTCTTGCAATCTTCAATGGATTTAGCACATTCCATAGGGTACTATTAAAACGCCCCATCTCAATACAAGGAAACAGAAATAGGAACTCTAAAATGAAATTCAGAGAACTGGCAAGCCTACATACTTCATAACCATGCAGCAGATGTACCTAAGGTTAGCCTATGCTAGGCCACAAACTCCTTGATTTAAATCAGAATAAAAGGAACGCACAGCTAGAAATGTGCTTTGTAACATAAGAGGACTATCTACGTATGCATACTTTAACCACAGAATGCAAAGACCATCACCTACATGTTTAAAAACTTAGAGGAAAATTCCTTTGTGCAGAGACATGAGTTTGCAAGGGATTCTTAACATTCTTGAGACTGAAAACCACAAACTTGGAAGTTCAGCTCACAAAAACAACCCAGCGCCCACCACCACAAGAATGCAAACCCACATCCCACACCAATCAAGATATTCTTGCAAGCAGAATACAAAGGAAACAACAGAGAAGAGATAGGGCATACTGGGGTTACATTAAAGACAGCTGTTAATACGAGGATTAAACCAGAATGGAAAGCCATGTATTCTACCTCCACAGTAAAACCATACAGCTCAGTTATAGAGCAAGCAGAAATGCAGTACCTTCATGCTGGGCTTAGATAACTCATGCATGGTGGGATTATACTAAAAATTACTGGGACTGAACTTGATGCACACCTCGATACAAATAAGTTTGCAGTTGTGGACAATAAATGATAGCAGGACATTCTGGACGATGACACAGATGGCTTTACTAGCCTGGCAGGATACTAACACAGCCATTTGATAGAACACCTCTACATTCCAAATCTAATGATACATTCTGTGGCCTAAAAACCCTTGTAAATGCATTTGTCCAACAACAACAACAACAAAATTACCACTGTCCTTTGTTCAGCCAAGCTACAAAGCAGCAATGATGGTTTAAATGTCACAGATGATGAATCAGAGAAGAGTACCCTGAACTTTGGTTCTGTTTACATCCACTTACGTGTCTGCTTCACATTATTTCATGTAATTTTTAGTCACGTTAGGTACCTGTTTCATCATCCATATAATTGCAGGCTACAGCGAACGCCACGCAAGCGTCTTCTGTTGAAAAGACAGCACTCACTGAAGCTGATTACTTTTCACACTGACAAGGAAGAGTATTCTATTTGCTCATTAGCACAAAAAAAACTCATCTCACCCTTTCTGCCACTCTAGTGCAGGTATGATCAATTACATACCCTGTATTACTTTATTTTGGAAACATGACCTGTGTCTGTAGGTAAGATAACTTGTTTCACTTGTAAGTAACTTGTTTTATGAAATATTTAAAATTGAGCTCTCAAATATTTTCCAAACTGAAACAGCAAGTAGGGAAAAGCAATGCAAAGCTAAAACACTGCTCAAAACCCCTGGAAACAACATCTGTAGGAACATCACTGCAAACACCACACAATATGATACATTTTCCCACTTATCTGCATGCTCCAAAAGCTCTAACCAGCACTGAAAACAAACATGGCCACAGACATCAGAAGTGCTGCTCTCTCAAACTGTAGTTAAGCCTGTGACTTGGCACACCAGCTTTCCAGCAGTGAGGCATGCTTAGCTAGAGATGCTATTTTAATTCTCAGGTTTCATAGCACATTCTCCAAATAAGAACACATTTCCTCTTATCTTCATCCAAATGCTGCATGGAACTCCAAAACACAAACAGAAATAACACTCACCTACAGGAACAGAAGTAAAGGCTACAGAAGAAAGGTGCAGGTGTTCCACACTGATGTATGAAAGACTGAGATGCAAACTGTCTAATAATTTATGTTATCCATTTTGTCCTTATTATAAACTGATTTCATTCTGTGGAAATATCATCACTTTCTTTTACTGTAATATCAGCTCCTATGTGCAAATCCCTTCCACAGCGAGCTCAGAATTTGACATTTTCGGATACTTGAGACTCTGATAAAAACTTACAGCCTTTCCTTGTACAGTGTGACTTCAGGCTTTGAAATGAGAGTCAATTGTTAAGGCAGCATCCAAACCACCCTTCACCCCAAGTCACAACACAACCACTATGTGCCTATGCTCAAACAACTCAGCAGCCACAGGCACTCAGCCGTTACAAACCAAAGGACCTGTAAGAGCAGGACTCTGTACACTGACTGCTTGAAAAAATAAGCAAAACAAAGATCTGGTGTATTTCCTTGATAGCTTAAAAAACCAAACGACCACAAACATGTCTCATTCTTGCAGCACAACACATCGCATAACACCCATCTTGAAAGTTTCTAAAAGATTTTTCTCAATCAGTTAAAAAAAATGTTGTAAAACATCATCTAAAACATCAGGAAAAAGTGTCCCTTCCAAAAAAAGCTTATTTTAGGCATATTCCTTCCCAAAAACTTATATTTATGTAGGGAAAAATACTGATATTATTTGGTGTTTTATTTTTAAAATTCCTAAGACAACATAATGATATCAAACATATCAACTTGTGCTGACAGAACAGAAGAACCAGATGCTATTTTATTCATTTCCTTGAAAGCTAAACCCTTCACCAAGTACCAAGATTTTCAGTGCAGTGTGATTTTAAGGGAACTGTTCAGATTACTGTAATTTCTAACCGTATCACAGGGACAATTTTGCTGCAGAAATCAGAGTGGGTTTTCCTGTTCTTTCAAGTTGCTGGTTTCACAGTACTTCAGGGCAGTTAGGAGCAAATTCCATGAGAGAACAAAGGTGAGCACACAAAAGCAAAGACAACTAGAAAAAAAAATACTTTTATTACTACTTTTCCTCAAAGACTGAACTGCTGCCTCCAAGCTGACTTCCCACAACTGATGCAACAAAACAAAAAGCCATCTTTACTTACAAATAGAAGTTAATCAAATTTTCAAGCAGAAAAAGCCTTTTCAGACCACAACATTACCTTGTCTGCTGCCTTGTTGAAAACACTGCAGATAACACAGCGATGTTCTTCATAACAAATAGGATCACAGCAGTTGTGAGTTAGTGATGATGATTTGTGAAGCTATTCATTTCCCTACTTAGCCTGAAATTTCTAATAGCCATAAAGAAGTTTTTTTATGAGCACAGCTGACGTAAATTTTACACACGATGCTCCAATAACATACTGCTAGCCTACTAGGCATATTTCCTTCACGTCTGTTTTCACAAGCTGAGAAGTATATCCCAAGATGTTTTTGTTTTCCCTCTTGACTTCATTTGAATTATAAAAAAATAAATCTCAATATATATTAATTCAACTGATAAATCACAACTAAAACAAACAGCATTTTTATTCCTGAATTACTTCTCCCCTGTCTTTCAGCTAGCTCTCATATAAACTTTCTTCAGGGTGAAAGAGAACAACACAAGAAATCGCTATGCTACTCCTCCAATACACATATAAAACAAAATCAGCAGGAAGTTTAAACATCAGCAACATCATTGTTCCTCTGTTATACTGCTTCATATTACAATTGAGAATGAGAGGTGGTTTGTTTGTCTTTGGCACAGCAACTTTGTTTACTTGAGGTTTGTCATAAAAGCATTTCTTTTCCTGTAGTAGCAGCAATTAGCAGTAAGCAATTACTAACACATGCAGTTACGTGAGAATGACACTGCATCCTCATGTTGTGGTCTCTGAAAATTCTATGTGGAAACATTTGGTCATTTCTGAAGGGATGTCCAAATCCTGAACATAAGTAATGAACATCACAGCCTTCCTATTCCTCCCACCTCAACACAAACCACGATCTGAAAGATGACATGTAATGAAACTCTTACCTCTTTCATTCAGACTGTTTAGCACTGCCCTTTCAAGCTGTTCTTCTTCAGTGAGCCCGCCTGTATAGTCATGATAATTCCTTGGTGTTCTGTATTGATCATCTGGATATCTGTAATACTCTGTAAAGTGAAAACAAAGAAAATAATCGGCTGTTACACAGTGGGAGAGGGTGAAAGCAGATGTTATCTTTACAACGTCTTTCTTCCACAAATCAGTTTAATTTGGAAAAGAAAAAATATGATTAAGAGTCAGGAGAACCGGGGTGAGAAAAACAGTAACAGTGAAGATACAGCAAGGATCTCCAGCTTTGTATTTGTTACAAATGTCATAGCATTGCCATGATTTCACGTTTCAAATAAATGGAAATAGCTTTCATCAGCTCCCCCCCAGCATGTAACTGCCAGTGTCAGGCCTTCAACCACCCAACAGCAACAAGACAACCACGTGGGCTTCAGGCTTTTCCATGTGCGCCTCGCCTCAGCCCACAAACAACGCGTCATCCTAAGCACAAGTCATGTTTGAGCCTAGAACACAACTGAAGAATTCTGCATTTCTGTACAATACTGTACAATGTACAACACTGTGCTATGCCTGCTCTAAAGAAAGCCAACACAGCCTGCAGATCTCATCTGCAACCACTGCGTTTTCCTGTACCAGACATTTCCATGAACAAAGTCAGTCAAAAACAAGTGTGGAAAACCACCATCCATCCAAACACGTGCAATTTAAAAGAGAAGAAAACAACCTGGCTGGAGAATGGAGTGAAGCTTGATTTAGCAGAACCTAACCCTGCCTGAACACAGAAAACCAACCTGAGAAAAACTCATGAGCAAAGTCCCAATTTGTTTTCTAAATGTTGTATTTTCAGAATATAAAACTTTGGATAATTTCAGTTCTCTCTCTTCCAGACAACCAGACATTAGATTTGGAAGAACCAAAGTACAGAAACACAAACAGTTTTACCCACGTGATTAGAGAAAGTACATGAGATTTTCAAAATGAAAGAAATAATGGAAATATTTCTGCATGAAACAAGTACAGCATGCCACCTCTTTTTATCTTCAGATCATTAGCATCAGTAAGAACAGTCACATATTACCTTGCTAGTTACAGATTCCATGTGGAACTTCTGTCAGGAAGACTAACAAGCACAGACTATAAACTGAGATGTAATTGATTTCATACACGTGTGCACATGGTTTTATATGAGCATACACACAATATAGGTGCACACAAAAATGCAATCCTGCCCTTTTGAGAACAGACAACAGCTGACATTGGGATGAATTTTCATAAAAGCACAGCAAAGATTTGGTGTTGTCCTGCAATCTGAACTGCTGCCATTTCTCAATTATCTGCTATTCCTCCGCTTAAAAAAAATGATGAACATGTATTTTTAAATCCCTATAAATTAGTCATTTTTAACAAGCTTGAAAAGCCTCTCAGTCACAGTGGCGTTATTTAAGAGACAATTCTGCAGAAAAACATAAAACCAACTGCAGAATATCACTCAGCTGACACACACACACGTTTTGGATGCAATCTTTATGCATTCCCCTTATTCCCCTCTATATTATGTTAATCTGAATGTCTTCTCAGCTACAAATTTATTTTCTAGAGGCTTCAAAACTGCCTGCACGAAGAGTATAAAAATCCTGGTTTTATCTGATAAAAGAAGGATGCTGCCTTTTAAGTTGACCGTAAAATATGGTAAATGTGATACTGTACACCATCCTCGAGTTGTAAGTGCTGACAAAGCTGTAATCTTCTGTTTTACGATGAGAAACAATTCAGTAACATTGACATGTTCAAGGTGTTCCTATTAATCCCAATAAGTATCCTAATATTTTATTCATGAACTGTCTTTGGAGTAAACCTAATTCAGTCACCAATTACTGGGGTAAAATTACAGCTGAAATATTTTTTTTTTTTCCTTCTAAATCTGTTTCTTTGTAGTGTTTCATAAATCCATTCTGATTATCTATTTTTTATTTTAATTAATAAAGTCAGGCAGCAATAACTCAGCAATACCAAAAAATAAGTTCAGGTAAGGTTGTACTGTATGTACATAGTGAACCTGCAACACTACAGAGAGTTTTCCTAATTCACAAATGGTCAAATGTATTACTATATCATACAACAAGCATATTATGAATTCTTCCTTGAAAACTCATGCAAGTAGGATGAAAGATAACTATGAAGAATATTCACAAGGAAAAAAATGTATATGTATCAGAAATATGTATATTTTACAATTACAATTCAGTTTACAGAAAAGAATTTACTAAAAGAAAAATTGTTATGTCTAAAGCCAAGCTTGGAAGACAGGATAATTCATGTTAACCTCACTCCTTTAGCTCCCTTCCATGACCTCCAACTCAAAGCAGCACCACTTCTCTTGCTCTGGAACTGCTCAAGCCATACATCCTTTTTGCCAGTGCCCTACAACTTCTTCCCAGGTGCTGTGCAGTCCCCTGTATCATTCTACACTACATGAAGTGCTGTTGCTGGTTAGGAAGAGCTGGAAAAGAAGTACAGGGCAGTTCAAGATCTGCTCCACAAAGGTTGTCTTTAACACCCACCCCCATCCTGAACACCTGGTGTCTGTACAATGGCTGCAACAGATTAGAGAATTTAAATATCAAGTGCAAGTTCTTATCTTCATTAGCAAATTAAATTGCCTTTTCCAATATAAACCATTTGATTTTCCACACATGCTGCTATGCTGGTGTACTGAAGGAAGGTTTGGTTGTTATTAACACAGAACACAGAGTAATGCAGATGAACAGAAATTATACCTAGGTAAACATCAGCTGGCCTGAGAACGCAGCTGGAAGCAGGCAGCTCATGCACCATACATCTCCTGTTTTAAGGAGTATGTATGTAATTGTATGTAGGAGTACTTTATGTAATTCAACACCTTATTTTATTGAGCAATTCATTTTATTTTTATTGGTCTTTAGGTCAAACATCATATCTTTAATTTGAGAACTGGATTAATAAAAATCCTGGGTAAATACACTTCTAAGTTACAACTGCCCTTGCCGTTATTTGTAAGGAAAATACACTGGGATATTTGGTTAGGAATTACAAATCAAATACTTTTGAAATACTCAAGGGCAAAATTTTCCATTTGGTCAGCTCTTCTGCATGTTTTCTATTACAAGCAAAAATTACATTCATATTTGTAAAACCAAAATAAGCTTTTAGGTAAGTGGATGAGAACGTTTACCTGAATAACCCGAGTAGTAGTTCCTTGGCCTATCAGGGTCTGTGAATGAAGAAAGGCCACCTAGAAAGAAAGAATAACACATACACAATTAGAATAAAGTCTTAAGTTACCCTATTAGGAAACAGACAAGTACTGTGACAACCAAGCCTAGCACATGGTTGCAACAGATCTCAGACTTCTAAGTAAAACCCTGAAGTTTAAAGGCATGCTCACATAACAGCACAACTGCATTTAAAAATAGATGTTAGTATAAAAACACACTGAAATTTACCACCTCTGAAAACTGTTTCTACAGCACAAAAACCTGTGTCAATTCAGTGTCACAAAGCTCAAGGAATCTTGTAACACTTTCTCAAGCATCCCTCAGCTTTTTCTAAATTCAAAAATTCCCACATGAACCAATACAAGCAACAGAAACCCAACACAGAAATATTCTGTGTTCTGGCATATTTCTATTGCTTCACACTCCATTTAGAATGACATTTTGGTTGACATCTTACATGGAACATTTTACCTCAAATACATAGCTTTAAAAGAATGGTAAAAATGTATTACTTGCAGCAAAAAAATTACACCTGAAAGACACCTTTAATATGGATAAGAACGAGTAAAACAAGGTGAGCTTTTCTTCTGCTCTTCTTCACTCTATTTTTAGTTCCCTAGAAATCTGCTGGAACTGCACAAACATCTGCAATTGTATGCAAGATGCACTAATTTTTCAGAGCACCAATGTCTCATGCAGATTTTACCAACCTGCACACGCTTTCATGATCTTTTTCAGAGGACCCATTGTGTACATCAGTCCAACAAGAATCCCTGCCAGATGACCAGCAAAAGAAGTCCTATGAGGAAAAAAAAATATCTCATGAGCAATAGAAAGGTAGACTTCTTGGGCAGGAAACCTGAAGTGGAAATATCGTAATCCACAAAGTCCTTATGTAACCAAGCATAGAAAAGTGACAAGGGTAATGCAAACGCCTATTAATTTCTGCTCTGACTTGGTCAATCTGTTTTCTAATATTAGTGGTAATTATTCTATTAAACCCAGATGTGCAGTTTACATAACTCCAACTTACAGAACTCCTTACCAAAATTAATTTCCTCATTTTGTGATTTCTAAAAAAACATTGTACATGATCCAACTGAACTGAGCAACGTATCAATTCGAACTGAAGGGCAGAGTTTTCTTTCTTTCCTCATAAAATCCTAACACTGTTGTGTATACACTCACAAGTATGCAACATATCTTGAAGAAGCCGGAAGCTAACAGGAGAGATCACTTCAATTGTTTGTGTAAAGCACAGAACACTGATCCCCTACAAGCATTTAAAATGAAGTCTTCCCAAGACAGAAAACTCATTTTAATCTGTATAACTTAGATCTACAGAATTACACTAAAATGTCCTAGTAGGAGCTACCAAAACTTACTACCGTTTCAAATGTAAGCGTAAGTAGAGCACTTAATCACAGTACTGTCAATTCAATCCTACTATGAAATGGAAGCCCCATCCCTGGAGACATCCAAGGCCAGGTCACACCAGGCTCAGAGCACCTGATGGAGCTGTAGGTGTCCCCATTCATTGCAGGGGGGTGCACTAGATGGCCTCTGAGGGTCCCTCCCAACTGATATTATTCTACAAACCCTAAATGCAGACCTGTTCCAACATATTGGTACCACAGTGCATTCATAATTAAAAGAAAAGTAAAAAACTGAAATCCATATTATTTTCTAAACATGCCTATTTACTTTAAAAATACATTCATTGCCCATTTGTACATAGAATGAAAAGACTGAAGTCTTCAACACAGAAGCATTATATATGGAGTAAAAACAGAGATTTGCTCCAAGTATCTCCATGAATATTGTGTCTCAGCACTCAACTTAGAAGTTCAGTGAAAGAGTTTAAATAGGCTCTCCTATGAATTTGCAGAAGCTAATACACCCAATAATTAAGATTCTCTATACTCAAGTAGGTAGGAACATCAAAAGCAGAAAATGGTCACAAAGAAATACCACAAATTAACCAAGTTTCTCCTTTGTCAAGGAGGCAAAAGGCCTCCCCAGAAAGAGAAACAGCAGGTGGCATGTTGTAGGAACACAGCGCTGCCTCACAGCATTTCTCAAAGGTTTAAAACCCTGGGCAGTATGAACTACACTAAACAGATACGTAACTGGATAGAAAACCTGGCTTAATGCTTATCAGTGATTTGTTACCAAACTAAGGAGGTGAACTGAATGGATTTCCACATTTTCTGTACCAAATATTACTTGCTAATAACAACAAGCTGAGAGAGGATGTAGGAGTCACAAGAGATAGCGTTATAATTTAAAGCAACCGTGGCACAGTGACAGAAAAAGATAGGATAGGATACAGTAAAGACAAGGAGGGAGTTCTGAATGTACCACAGAAATCAGTGCCTATACAAACTGGAAGGGACAGGCCAGTAGGAGAGCTTTGGGACAGAGCCCGGCACGCGCAGTGAGTCAGATGGTTAAACACAGATCCACGGGCCACTACAGGAAGACGAGTATTCCACTGGAAATACATGAAGCGCTGGCTGAAAGTAAAACAAAGTCACCTTTCACTCTACTCAGATGGAAATTCAGTTTCTGCAGACTGAGCAAAAAGAACAAGAGGAAACAAAATGCTAACAGGAAACAAATGCAGCAGCCATAGACACAAACAAAGGGAAAAAAAACTGCTTACCTCTAGAAGGCCTCAGGTAGACTGGGATCTCCAGCAAGATCTCTTTATCTCCACTACCAACCCTTCAATGAGGTCTGGTAGGAGTGGCTCCTGGCTCCTCCCATTCCAATCACTCAGGTACATCGTGTGCACCTGAGCTCCCCTGGTTGGCCCTGCCTGCCCACCAGGTGCTCAATCACTGCTTCAAGCTGCAGCTCAGCACTTCCACTACAAGTAGATTGCCTTTTTAAGAAATTTGCATAATATATTTCTTCTTTCTACAAGTTTTATCTCCTGACATTGAAATTAATGACAAAACTGTAACTGTTTTCACGAGGCACAACTGTATGCACGTGGAATTAAATGCCATTTTGGCTGAAAGGCACAAATGCAATTTATTAAAAGCACAAAAGTTGTAGGAAGGTCTTCTCCAAACACACTCCCTTCACTTGTATTATAAATTCCACTGTTCTCATATCAAATTCAGAAAATTGAGGGTACTCCTATTTTGTACTTTTTGAATAAAGAATATAAGTTCGGATATTATATATACAGGATATATATATATATATATATTGGATTGGATATATATATATTATCAGCCATAAAGCAACCTCTCGTGTCATATGATTCCAAAAGAGTATTTTTACATTACTCCCAAGAATATGGGAATCCTGTTGACTTCAATATCTATTTTTATAAGTTGACTTATTATGCTGTTAGACAACAACATTCTCCTGATTGCAGGAACAAGATAAACCATTGCCTTTTCTCCTGCTTGTTCAGAAAAACTGACAGATTTATTGTGTGTTACAACTTCACTTTGTATAAATACAAACTGAAATTTGAATGGAAATAGAAATGGGGCTCTTGGCTTTTTAAAACACGTTTTTTTCCCCTCTAAATGTCAACAAGCTTTATCAGTATTAACTAATGTTCTCTTTGATACAAAGAAATTCAAATGAAGCCTCATTTAATTTTTGTTAGAAAATGTGGATCTCCCCAGAGATATTATTTAAACCATTCACTTCATACTAACGATGATTATGCAATATGTCTAAATGCCATTTCCTGAAGAAATGTGCCATCAAGTTGATGCGCACTTTACTCAAGAAAAATCTTCCAAACAGAATTAATTACACTTCTTCATTTGGCTGTGTAGTTTCCATGAAAATCGGTGTCATTAAGATGAAAACCATATGACAACATTTACTCATCAGCTACCCAGTTCTGACACAATGCTTACAAGCCTCTCACAATATTATCCTTTAACATGAATACTGTCCCAGTATTCTTATGCACAATCCAAGTAATCTCACTGCTGGCACATTTATCCTGACTAGTTTCCACTCTGTGGCATCACTCACCTGATAGAGCACACGAAAGAACAAGGAAGCCTGTATCACTTCACTTCTATAGTTTCCTCCTAACAGCAAACCTGAAAGACTGGTTGGAATTATCATTCATGCACAGAACAAAGCCACTTATTTAGCAAGGTATGTCCTTAGCTCAGCCACTGCTGCAGTCTTCTGTGACAAGAACTTATTTTCATCCATCCCCTATTCTGATGCTACACTACATTCAGGTATACATTCACTCAACAAAGAAATAAGTAATAGACATACTATAAAAATCCAGACCAACTTTATTTTGAAAAAAAATAATGGATATTTTCAGATAATGGGATGAACCTTATTATTTATAATAACAATTTATTTCAAAATTAACTCAAGCATGTAGTCACGTGCACATGAATTTATAGCCTCTGCTTCAAAATTTAATCTCGCTGTAGTGATTTAATCCAGCAGATGGCTCAGCACCTTACAGGTGTTCACTCACTCCTCCCCTTCCCAGTGGGATGGGAAGAGAAGCAGCGAAAAAAAATGAAGTAGAACTCATAAGCTGAGATAAAACTATATAGTATGGCAGAGAAAAGGAAAAGGAAAGTAGTTATGACTATATATGTACAGCTGAAAGCATACAACATGCACAAGTAGTTGCTCACCATCCCCCAGCTGATGCCCAGCTAAACCCCTAAGCAGCTGAGAGTGAGAGATGAACTCTCATCTCCTTCAAAACTCCTGCCTGATGCCATACAGTATGGAATATCCCTTTGGCCAGCTCAAGTCAGCTGTCTTAATTCCGTTCCCCCCCAGCTCCTTGGGCCCTTTGCTGCGAATGGCCTTGGCTTAGCAGGCAACTAGAAACGTGACTGCGTGAGCTGCACATTATGAGCTGCACATACCAGACACTGAAGTAAATGATTCTATCTCAAATGAAAACTAAGACACCTGCTTAGAAAGAAAGGCACACAATCTACCAGTGCTAATGAAACCATCCGAATGCAAATTAGATCAAATTAACTCATTGAATAAGTAAAAGTCAACTTGTTTTACACATGTGCAGGACAACAGCACTTCATCTTTGACTGGAAACTGGAAATTTGTAACTATGTAATACAGAGGAAAGTAAAAGACGATTAACAAAACAAGCTGTTAGAGCATGGTTTTCACCACGCAGTGTCATCCCTGTCAAATTTCTTGTGCTTTTTTGGATGCGGTTTTGTTTGTTTCTCCTCCATGCCCTCTTGCTCCTGAGGAACATTCTCATCAGTAAAATCGATCAATAACCAGCAACGACTCAGTGATATCATTAAGCATTAAACACATCCACAATTACAAAAGCAGACTAGATAAGAGAACAGGCACATAAGAAAAGATCTCTCGTGGGGAAAAATAATAGAACAAAGCAGAATATTTGTAGTCATGCTAGAGGCTGCACCAGAATTAAAACAGAGAGGTGAAAGTGGAAGAAAAAATTAAAATTTCAAACAAAATTTGCCGAAATATATTCCAGTATTTTCAAGTATACAAAGGTTTTGTTTGTTTCCTTTTAATGAAGAGCTCAGCAATTGTATCACGTTGACCTCTTCTGACTGTGATTTGCTTCGAAGCTGTGTTCCTGCAGATCCTTGACCCCATGAGAAAGGAAGCAACTAATACTCATAGCTGATCCATTGTGTGCTACCATTTTGTTTTCAGTTGTCAGCTATGAACGTGCATTACAGAGATCTGCATCTCTGTCATAGAATGTAGATTCACTCCTGTGCTGCTGTTCTCCAGCTGGGCTACTTCTCAGTTTGCAAGGTCATCTCTTTTTTTTTTTTTTTTATATATTAACAACTCTAACGAGCACCTTAACTTGCCAAAAATAAGTCTATTAAATTGGCTCAGTCCAACATTTATTTAGTTAGTTACAAACAGAAACGTAGAACAGAACTAAAGGTTAAAACTAATTTATTACATTTTTAACTAAGAAATTTATATTTTCTGAATTACAATAGCTGTCACAGATCTGGAAGGAAAAAACATTTTTCATCAGGCTCTGTATTACTTCTCAGTACTTCACTGGTTATGGATGACCCTGTGATATATCATTCCACTAAAGGCTGCACAAACATACCTTGTGTCTGATGGGACAGAACCCTGCACCACTTACTGACCTCTTATTATTCAGAACAAGATGTCGCACCCTGATCTACAAAAGAATACCATCTAATCAGGCACCTCAAAAACTGTAACATGCCCTGAGCATGCAGAAGAGGATGTAGCAGTACTGCCCGGAGAGCCAATTACTGTGGTTCATTTCAAGGCAGTTGCCAGTTACTAATTAAACATATTATGTTCTGAGACATTAATTTCTGTAGCCTGTTCCTTGCTTTCTGTGGCCTCTGTTAATATTTAAGTGCTGTGAAATTGTCTTAGGTATCAGAATTGAACATAATTAGGGGTTGCTTAGACAAGGCAGCAGCCTAAGCTTCTATGCAAATTACGGAGACATTTTTAACATTATTTCTATACCTTATATTTACTTTCTACCTCCAGAATACGTCTGCAGTAACACAACTGGGAAAAAAATAAAAAACCCAACTGCATCCAACCACTAACCTCATGAGTTCTTCTTCCACCAATTAGATGTGATATGCTCATGGTTTCGCTTCAGATCATTTCCACTGTTTTTTCCACTACTCTTCAACAGTAAAAAATGTTATTTAATGTATCAAGAAAAAACTAACTAATGCTAAAACAACATTTTGTTTATCAGAAGAACGAAATGAATACACCAAAACTTTTGAGTTTTAACACCATGGAAGTGATCTCTTAGCTGACAATTCAAATTGCATTTGAAAAAACATGCTCTGCTGTTCTTTTGTCTTTTAACTTGGGATTCCTTGTTTCAGTCAGTCAAGCAGTAAATGATAAAGCAGTATAAACTCTGCTTAAAATAAGTAATATCTGAATTTTCATTCTGGTCTAGGAAATGTTCTACCTGCCACATCATAGCATCTAATGATTAGTATGTCAGTCTTGTTCCTCTCTTTAATCTTTCTAAAAAGCAGCAAATTGTTCATGAATTGCAATTTGGCAGTTAGTAAATTTTGTGAGTTTCTTTCACACACATTTTCTAATACCATTGACACTTATAAATTATAAAACATTATGTAAGAGAACAGATGATTTGCAACTACAACTCCAGAAATTAACTGCAGACAAAGGAAAAATTGCACTGGCATAGATGAGCACAAAGGAAAACTAAGGGAGACAGTCAGCAAGACCACAGGACAGTGAACTATGAATTTTATCCAGATAACCCTAGATTAAAAAAAAAAAAAAAAAAAAGAGAGAGCAAGAGAAAAAGAGAAAAAGCAAATGAAATAGTGGATGTCAGTTTAATGGTAAACTAGAGCAGTGACTAGAAGAAATTGACAGAAAGTACCAGAAGAAAAATAAAAAGCAAAGCAGCAGAGCGCTCCCCAAGTTCAGCCATTTTGCACAAAATGAACATCCCAGTGCCCACCAACTTCATATCCTCATTCCAGAACTTTGCCATACTTTTGAGACACAATACTCCAGTTCTTCATTTTGAAAGTGGTGTTAAGGAAAAAAGCCTCAGCACCGAACTGTAGCCCCAGCGCACGGTTTGGGCACTACCTCACGCTTCTCACACCTCATAGGCATTTCAAACTACCTCAGGTAACCGAAATCTCATCTACCAACTCTGAAGTACTACAAGCACTTACCCTGGGGAAATGAAATGAATTGCCACCAGCTCCACCCAACAAGCATACTTGCTGGATATCTGCAATCCAAGGACGCTGCTAACTCTTCCTGGGTTGTAATGGTTGTTAAGAACTTTCAAAGCAAACAAGACTCCTGCAAACAAGAATAAATAACATCAGGAGAGAAGCACTTGTGTCCAGATAGTAAAGAAATTAATTATTGTTATGACTTAGCTGCTGAAATGACAGCTATTAAAACTGGAATATCACATCATGCAGTTTCACAGCATCACAAAGCAATATTGCTGCATGTCAGAACAGCGGTTGGTTTTGGTTTTGTTGCTTTTTGGGGATACTTTTCAGTCACTTCAGGACTGAAATTACAGATTTGTGTAATGTAGCCAATTCAAAGCTTCGTTTTAAATACAACTATTTATTGTAGCTGTTCAAGTAAACAAAATACAACAATTCAAAAGGGGAGCTCTAGTTGTAATAACGGACAAACTTAATTAACTCAAAATGTACAGTAAGCTGAGAAAAGCCATGACTGAAAACAAGACAAATGCATGTGTGAAGGTCAGCAATATGCTCAAAAAATTGTGAATTAATGGAAAAATCATCTTACATATACTCCAGAATCACCTGTTTCTGCAAAAAAAAAAAAAAAAAAAAGAAACTGCCTTTAATCACAATAATTTATTTCTAATTGATTGCAACTGTTTTATCATGCAAACAAAAAGCCAATATGGCAGAGTGAATTTGCATTATTTATCAGAACATTCAAGAAAGATTATGAAATTCTCAGGAGAAAATGCAATCACTTGAAAAAAATGGGAAAAGTGACATAAATAAGTATGGAAAAGACAGTCAAGTTGGACAGGAACAAAGATATACTAAATTAAAAAACATGACAAAGGTTTCCCCTCTTCTAACACCATGGAGAACACAGGACAGCAAAACTTCTTTCTCTACCCAGCGGGTTTCTTTCACATACATTCTCTAATATGAGGTAGGTATTCTTATTTTAGGATAATGCACACAAATGTTCCTTCGAACAGCCCATGCTTACATTTATTGCTGCTGACAGACCTTGTTCAGAAACCATACATTTACTTGAGAGCAGAAATATTTGATAGCAGCACATAATTGAGTTTTCTCTATCCAATCCTCCCTTGGCTCACCAGAATATTCTATGTACAGCTTCAATTTTCATCATTATTTTTGAGGTCTAACTGCCTATTGGAAGGGCCTAGGCCTGCTGTACTGTCAGGTTCCTGCTATGGGAAAAAGGGCCTGGTCCATTTCATCCAGTTGCAAAATAAGGAAATAAATCCAGGCATCCCAAAACTCTTAAGAGATGAGAAATGAATGGGCCATAAATATGCATACAATCTGGCTCTTAAAGAAACAGTTATTGCCAGGAAAATACTCATTTCTTCTTTAACATCTGCTCCACATATATGACACTTGCTCTGACTGAAATTACATATGCTGAAGGTCACGTTGAGAATGCTGAAGGTTTAGGAAGATCAACTACAGACAGTAGGGCTGTCAGAGCTACTTTAATCTACTGCCTGGACAGAGCATGTGCACACAGGCTGCTGCTCACAAGAACTGGACACACAAGGAGCACATGCTTTAAATTTCAGAAATGATCACTTCAGTGACATAATGTACACAGATGCACCTGGATGTCCACCTGCCCATTTACTTCATTCAACAAACATTATATATTATCCATAGTTAGTTATTTTTGCATTTAAATTGGACCAACTCACCCGAGAAGCCTACAGCACAACTCATTTCATACGAAGGATCATTCAGAATCTTCACAAGCACGAGTTCCAGCAGCACATAAACAATTCCAGTCAGCACTGAGAATACTGCAATTATGTACGCAAACCACACACTTCCAAGTCTCCTTTCCAACATTATTCCCTTCCAAAGCATGGAAATCATGTTATAATATAAATGCCAGTCATCAACATGGTGGACAGGTGAAAGCAGTAAACGCTGCCAGTTCTGTTTGTAGAAAGCTTCCCTCACACTGATGCACGCCTCATGCAGCGGCCTCACGGGATTCAGGAAGAAAAAAACATTCAGCACGAGCACTGCGAGGGTAACAGAAGGAATGTTCTGAAGTCCAACCTGAGAAATCTGGTAAAGCAGCAAAAGCAGTCCAGCATTGACTCTTCCCTGCCTTCGTTGCATTATTGCTTCTTACTCAAAGAAATAAGTTCACTCTACTTCTACTCTTGTTCAAATCCAACGCCATACACGTTCTGGAAACACTGAAAGAAAAAAACAACTGCATTATAATACATGTACTATTGTGTTTCAAGACTAAGTGCTCTTTTAAATCAATAAGAAAAAAAACACAAACAAACAAACAGCAAATTCTTCAAGCTGAGCAATTGAAATGAGAAGAAAATTTTAATCTGGTCTAAGAAAAAAGAAAAATAGACATCTTCTCACTAATATCCTGATTCACTTACAGTCATTAAACTTCCAGGCAGAAAGCCCTTGAAAAACAACAAAAGAAACCTGGACAGGAACTTGGTTCTCAGGCCTCTCATCTTTGCTACAGGTATTGCTTTCAGGATTTTTTCCCTAACTTCTCCTCATACTCATTGTAAATTGAGAATGGAAATTCCAAGTTACTGTTTCAACAAGTAAGACACACACCTAAGGGCTTCTACACAAAAGCTTTGAAAACGGCTCCTGCTTTTGTAGATTAAAATTAAAATTCTAGTTTCAAAGCTTGCAGTGGGGAAAATACTATAGGAGGAAAGCACATATAAGAACAATACAAAAAAAAAGCCAACAAAACTGCATCAAAATATTCATCTCTTCTCTGCTCTATTTACAACAGATAAATGTAGGGAGGAAAAAAAAAGAAAAAAAAAAAAAGAGAAATAGAGTAGTAGATCTAGCTAGAAACAAGGTTACAATGGTTACAAGGTTACTAGCTAGAAACAAGGTTACAATGGCAAGCACTCCAAACTTCTGCTGGTCCATGAAGGCGAAGGCACCTGCACAGGGAGAATGCAGCACAAAGTGACACAGAGATGGCAGAGTGGATACCTTCGTCATCAAGATGCTCAAGATGCAAAGTTTAGTGTTCCATGCTATACCTATCGGGATTCTAGACCCTGCATTTCTACAGACAGCTGCTCTCTGCAAGCAGTTTTCATTAGGTATTCAGAGTATCACTAGTAAATTGATGGGACTGCACCAAAGTAAGCAAACACAAGGAAAAGTCAAGGAAATCACCTCTGAACTGTGTGATCCTGCACAAGCAAAAGGAACTACAAAACCTGCAGAGGGCTGAGCAGAAGAAAAGCCCACCTACAGCCCAGCCTCTCCTTAAACATCAGCAGAAGCAGCAGAAATCACTATGGCAGATCACACTTGACAATAAGTGGCGTTGAACAATTGAGCAAATCAAATTTACGATGCTGTAATCTCTGGATTTCTTGTTAAATTGCATTTACGCTCAGCACGGCACTTGAGGAAGAACCTGCTTACATTCTCAAAGCAACACAACAGAACAGAACACAAATAAACTCATCTGCTACAAAGAAAGGAAATTCACTACATTCTTCCCATGGTCTAAGCTTGGTCTGAGGCAGAATGCAGCAGCAGCAGCAACCTGCTGTTCCAGGCCCCTGAGTACAGAACTCAGCTGTGCTGGGACCTTTAAGAAACAAATCCTAATCCTCCTAATTTAACTACACAGCTGAGCTAAGACCTCTTACAAAATGGTTGCTGTAAATGATAATCAAGTGTCAGCTTTTGTCTTTTTTTTTGTTTTGTTTTGTTGTTTTTTGTTTTTTTTTTTTTTTAATGTCAAAATTATATTTCAAAGAAGTAACTGCAACTTCTGATTATCTAAGTAATGTCATCTTTCAAAACGTATCAGGTCACAATGTTGGTATCACCATCTCCAAATATTCTTACGTTCACGAGCCCAAAGCTCTGACTTTTCTTTTTTGCCACTGACACAGCTACATTTTTCCCCACCACAAAACAGCTGACAAAAACTATTAGAATTTAAAAGCCAACCCAATTTAAACACAGGCTACATGGAAACCCCAACTTCTTGCCACACCACATTGTTCAGATTGCCAAATAGTACATACTCTCACTTTTTAAAGCTTTCACTCCCTTCTGACAGTCTTTATTTTCCAGTTTTCATACTTTTCACATATACGCACCACGGAAAAACAACCGGCAGGCAGCACAAGTCTGCACCATAACCATGTGAGAGTGGGAAGGCTTTACACCACAACTGCAGTAATGCTAGGTACTGTAAATCCTTCCTATTATTGGGAGCAACCAGGAACGGGTGCCAAAAACACATCACACGTGATTATAATGGATAAATACATAAAGAAAGAAAACAAATTAGTTATTTAATTAGTTAATGTAATTCACTTGAAATATAGAGAGCTTTCAGCTGTTTGAACATTCTTTCTCAGCCTCTACTCTGCTCACTAGAAGCCCAACAAGGCTTAAAACAATGAAGCATTTATTCTTTTTCTTTTTTCTTTTTTTCTTTTTTTTAAACTATGCCACCCACTTCTAAATGTACAAATTTCCAGCAGGGACCTGAAGAGGACGTTTGTGTTGCTCCTCGGCTGCCACGTGTCTGCATTTTTGTCACCTACTCAAGAAAAAAGGTCTGAACTAAACGTTCTCAGAATCCATTGGTTCAGTACTAATCAAGTGCAAAGCACATAAGCTTTCATTTTTTACTGTGACAAACTCCCTGGCTGGCTTGACAGCCATAAAATATTATGAGTTCAGATTACTGAAAAGTCGTGCCAATAAGTAAATATTTTAGTAAATTGTAGTTCAAATGAAACATTACTGTCTTTTCCTACTACAGCTGTAGTTTGAAGTCGAAGATTCTCCTTAAACCCTCATTCCCCTCTAAACTTCTAGAAGTTCACTCTAAAATTGTGATTCATGATGATGTGAAACAAAACCCGGCCCATCGCCCTGCTCCTCAACAGCCGCACTGCGAGGTAAGCCCAGATGTTACAAACACACAAGAGAAATGCATCTCGTTTCCACTGAAGGTAAGCACAGCTGTCATCTACCTGCATGGCACATTCCCACCAGGAAGGTCTGTCAGCAACCTTCTCTCTAGCACTGTTTAGTTCTCCTCATGCCTCCCAAAAACCATTTGTACTGGGGGACCTTAGCACTACACAACGCTCTGCTGACAGAAGAAACCCCAGGGTTAGCGATTCACTTTGGATTGGGAGTGTGATTTTGAAGTGAAACTCTCCATCAGTCCCACTGATGCCACCGCAGTTCTCTGGAGTGGCTACAAAGTGTTTTCTTCTCCTTTCAGATGAAACTAAAGTAGGAGAAGCACTCCAGAAGAAAAACCTGAGCATTTGGCCCACAGGTCCAGACTGAAGCTAGGTCAAATTAAAAACACAAAACCAAAGCCACACCACCAGAAACACGTAAAGGATGAAAAGGGCAAACATCAAATCCTGAGCATAAACTGTTTCAGACTGCAAATAAAGCCCAGCAGACCCACACTATTCATCTATGAAGATTGAAACTCAGTACAAAGCCTTATATCCAAGCAAAGAACAGAACAGAAACTGTGCTTTTAAGGCAAAAGGAGTTCTACAAAGGAAGCATCAGCAGAATGCACTTACTATTGGCCTCAAACTTCGAAGGGGACCAAGGAAGGCAGAATAAACAAAACAAGAAAAAAAAACATGCAAGAAAAAGCACAAACATCTTAAACATGGTGAACCGTCCTGCTTTTATTTAATAAGTATGCAGGGAAAAGGTCAGCTACAGCTACAACAAGCTTTGAAACATTAAATACAATCACTGCATAAAACACTGTGTCTACCATGAACTCATTCCATCCTGATCCTTCTGTCTGTACATTTGCTTTCATAGGCAGTCACTGTGGGAATAGATACTATGCTCTTGTGCCTCAAGACCAAGGCCTGATCTATGGTGAAAAGGATTTACTGGTAACGCATACATCAGTAAGATCCACTATTTCCTCCTCTGGAGACAAAGGTCAATCACTTCTTGTAGTGCAATATAAATCAGCTCCCCAGATGGAACAACCTAATATTTCTATTACGTATTGCCTTTGTGTGGGTATATTTATATGTACAGAGAAGTGCATTTACACACACACGCTCTTTTCACGGGTGCAGATTATTCTAGTCAGAAAGAATACTTCAGGCTTACCATCAGAAAGAGCTGTTTTGGCTTATATAAATTCATGCAATAGAAATTCTGCTACAGTTGTAGTGTAGAGAAGACAAAAGCAGAAACCTTCACATTTTAATGGAAGGCTATCTTTCAGTATCTCTCCTTAGAAATTACGTTCACTAGAAATTAATGAACTCAGTGTTTTCCTTCACTGGAAAAAATCTGCTCCAAATTCACTCAGGAGCCACATGCTGCTGTTGGTTTCATCACTTAAAAATACTAAAAAGCAACACAGAGACCATTTTCTCTGTATTCCTAAATTTATATGCCATATGTGGGCAAAAAGATGAAGCATTTTTGATCGAGCAAGGAAGAAAAACAAATCAGCAGATAATCTCTGAAACATCAGCTCTTCTTAAACCTCTGTGAGAAGCCAGTCAGAACTACGTACCAGCAAAATATCCTTCTGGGGGGAAACTATGGATATATTAAGCTCCTTCCCTGTTCTGTGGAACAAAGCAACACAAGTTGTGATAAATGTTTTTACTATCCTGTCTCGAAACTGGTAGAAAGTAACTACCCTTCTAACAGCTAAGATACATCTAAACATTCATAAGGTACATAAGTGAAGTGAGCTTTAGTAAATATTGATAGTTGTGTGACTGGACTGCTGAAGGGACATCAGTTATAAACATATAAATATCTATAGCTCCAAATCAGAACAAAGTAGATTTCAGAATAGGCCCCAGCTTGATTCTTAATTTCACAGACGTTTAATTGCTTCCATTAAGATTGTACTGTTCGTACTTGACTGCAATTCTCACACCATCCTAAAACTGCATCCCCACAGCAGGGGATCATCCTCCCGCGCTTAGTTAGGAACCCCTCGGTGTAATTAAAATGAAACAACCAGCATTTCCTCGCCTCCTCCAGATCCGTGAAGCACGAGAGCCCTTCTGGGCTCAGCACTCCAGGCTGTAGTTACTTTTCTTAACCATCTTACTGCTTTAAGGAAAAAAAGCGGATGCAGTTCTGGCAGAAAGTAAAAAGACATTTCGTTATTCCTATCAATTCAGCCAAGATGAGCGCAGGAGCCGCATGCTGCCGATAGGCGCTATCAGGGCTGACACGGCCGCAGCACTGCTCGCGCACCACAGCAGCGCTGTCTGAACAAAACCCCATCAGGGCGGAACTCCGCGCGACGCTACAGAGTAAAACGCAGAGGCCGGAACTCGCTTCGCTGCCCGCCAACAGCGGGTGAGGCAGCGCGTAGCGGCCGCCCCCGGCCGCAGGGGAACGCGCCGGGACGGAAGGGGAGCGGGGGGCACGTAACGCTGCCAACCACAGCCGGGCGGGCGCCGTACAGCGGGGCGCAAACGCCGAGGTTCCTCAGGGCTGGAGAAGGAGGGAGAGCGAGAGGGCGGCTGGGAAGCAGCGCCGCGCCACCCCTCCGACGAGCAGCAGAGACCCGCAGTGCGCGGGGGGGGGGGGGGGGGGGGGGGGCGGGGGTCGGGGGCGGCACTCGTCCGCTACCAGACGGCGGCGCGGGCGCCCCCTCCCTCCGTCCCTTCCCGCCTCGCCCCGCCCCAGCACTCACGTTCTCTGCGCAGCGGCGGACCCGACCCCGGCGCTGCACCACGTGACGCGGTCTCCAGTCCGCCGATTCGAGTCCCGCCCGCCGCGTTCCCCTCAGCCGCGCATGCTCAAGAGTGGCTCCGCCCCGCGGCGGGAAAGAGCGGCAGTGCTTTGCGAGCTGCGGTTAACGGGGAGCCGGAGAGGTCTGTAATGAGTCGTGTAAGTCGAACAGTTCAACTCCTCCATCTTTTTATTCAGGCACTAGAGATTCTGAGAAGAACACGGCGGTTGAAGCGGTGCGCCGTGCGAGTCGCTGCGTTAAGCGTCGTTCCCAGCGCTGCTGCGGGCGCCGGGCCGCCGGCTGTGCTGCTCAGCGGGAACGCGCCGAGCGAAACGGACACCGTGAAGGAGGTTGTCACAACGGCTGGCGAGCCGGTGGTGCGAGTATGAGAAGCGAATTATACACAGACCGTAGCCAAAGCTACTTGCTAACGGCCCTGCTTTGCTGTCAGTTCTGCGGCACTTCGGTTTCGTAGAACATCTTGGCAATTCACACGAGTATGTCATAGTATTTATGTGAAAGTTGTAATCTGCCCTTCCAAAAACAGCGCACAGCTCAGCAGACTGGCAGGCATGAAAGGGGCTGAATTCCTAGAAACAGGGTGGGGATGGAGTTAAAGGAGCAGGCTGTGCCAAAACAAGCAACTGCAGCATTCTGCTCTCTTCCAAGAGTGAGCAGAAGCCAAAAGAGGAGGGCACGTCCAATGTGCTGCCATCCACACACCTTATGCTAAGCTCTTCAGTTTTGGCACATTGAGATTTGTTACCTCAACGCTAATCGTCGTAATTCGTAGATATCACAGGATGTGGGAGTCAGAACGATAGATTTTCTAACATACACCAGGTTTTCTATAATTGGCACCATTTTCTGTAATAGCCTACTCTAGTTTCATGCAGCCGTAACTCCAGTCTGTAATTCTTAACCATGCAGTATTTACTGCCCGACTGTAGGCTCAGATCTTATTACTGGATGTATGAGACTTGAGGTCATAGCTGGGACCTGGAAGCCCTGCATTCTTAACATCCTGTGTTAACCTGTTCAATCGTATGTTTTCTATCTTAGGTTTTTTATAAAGCCTGAATAATAGGAGGCACAGGAACAATTGTAGGCTAAGTGAATGATGCATTCAGGTGCTGCGATTCATGGGCCATGTGTGTGTGTTCTTGTGCTTGATAGCTGAGTGCAGGATTTGATACTGCATTAAGCATTTCTTTTCCTTTCCACATTTTCAAAAAATTTGCTAAAAAAGCCCACATGAAATATTACTTTTTACAACATAAATAGTTGTATGTATACATATATATGTATACTTAAGAAATAAAAGCCCTGCTTCTCTCTTTCTCTGATCTCATGCTATTTACCTCATGGATTTCTCCCACCTTTTTATCTGAAAGTCCATTTTTCTTATTAAAAAATAGAAAATACTGTTTTACACGCCACAACTTTTGTATGGTCAGTTTTAAAACATGGTGACATTGATTTAGCCATGCTCATAGATTTCCTGTACGTGAGATCACCCAGTTGTTTTAAGATGCCCTGAAAGATGTTTTTGAGTAAGAGGAGCAATTTAGGTGCCAGCTCTTTCACCTAGCTAAAAAGTACAACACATGCAACAATTTCACTGTCTTATTTAAGCAGCTATTAACAGTATAAGTTCTGTTTCCTATATACGCTTGAGCTGATTAAGAAGTTAATTCAATACTTGGAAAGAAAATGAAAAATAAAAACAGCATTTTCATGTCCCATGATGCATTCAGTTAAGGCTGCTTACGCCTTGCTGCTAGCTATATAATCCATGTAAATATTTATATTGCACCTATTATCACTGTAAACATACAGCTTAGTCATATGTTGACCAATAATAAAAAAGTAACATTGAAATCTCTCTTGCTTAATGGCACAAGGTTTAAACAGGTTTTGGAGGCAGTAAAACAGGCTTCATTTTTCTGAGATACATGCAGAGGCTTTTCACCATGAAATAACTGGGAAGGAACAGCTTGCTACAGAATGCATAAATATTGATTAAATCCATATCTGTTTTTTTTTTTTTAAATGCTGGAAATTTGATAGCATAATTGAAACACTATTGATGTTAATTATGAGGAAGCTAAGCCGGACTAGCTCAGAAATATTAGAAAAATGCATAAGGGTAGTTACAGGAAAAGAATTATGGCTTTCCTGGACAAGCAGTATGTAGTAGCATTGTAGCAATTGGACAGGTCAGTACTATAGAAAAGGCACAATAACAGAAGGTGCTATAAAGGAAGGAAAGAAGATTGCTCACCCATATCTAGGTTTGTAAAGGAAAGCTCCACCAAGGACAGAATTCCAGAAAGACTCCTCCCTCAGGGCAGTCAGCCCTTAAATGAGGTCTAAGAGAGGTGCAGCCAGGCTCCACCCCTACTGGTCACACAGCTGAACTGCCTTCACCTGTGCTCCACGGGCTGACTGGGTGCTTTGCCCAGGTGCTCAATCAGTGGTGTGACTCAATAGTTACCATACGCATATTTACAGATGGAGAAATAGTAATCCGAAGTTTGACACGTGAGGATACGGTGCATCTGTCTGAAAACTAATATAACACCGATGATTTCAGGATTGATTTAAATACAAAATTAGTTTGTATACAGCTGTTTTACCTCTGCTACCATTCTAATTCTGAAAATAACATAATGCTTTGGAAATTGTGGAAGCAAGCCATTCAAAAAGATAGATATGGAAATACGTGATAAAACATTTTTTGTATGAATTTGGGGCTTAATTTCTTTGAGTCTTTGATGTGAAATTAACTTTGTATTTGTTGCACAGCCCACTTATGCTAACTTTTCCTTAGCTGGTCATGTACTTTATCCAAGTTCAGTTGTCACCGTCACTAACAGAACCTTCATAATAAGGCTGTAGATTCTTTTGCTTCCAGCTTGTAGCGTTAAAATGAATCATCCTGCAGGTTCTTGTTCATGTATTTTTCCAGAAGGAAAAGAAGAAATATCCGTTGAAAAGTAAAGTGGTCTGTTAGTCTGAACATGGGCTGGAAAAAATGGAGTAACATCAAAAATGTTTCATAATGCTTACAGCCAAAGGGGCTTTTGATCATCTAGTCACCTCCTGTTTAACCTGATAGTTCTATGCTGCATTGAGGAACCAGTTACACCAAAGCATTTTCATTCTCAAAGTCCTAACTTGTTGTATGTCACCTATGGAGAATGGAATAAACCAAAAGACAATACTAAGGAAATAAACGTGTAAAATATGCCGGGAGGACAGTACCAGATGCTCTCTCTACTCAATTAAAGAGCCTTTTAAAAAAAGGTATCAAAATCCAAGAGAATATAGCTCAAGGTCACTAGTGAAAACAAACTGTAACAGTAAGGTAGAAAACTGCTATCCCTTAAAACTGATTTAAAAACATGCAATGAGCGTTCAGTAACTGTTGAGTCATGGCCTGAACCACTGATTGAGCACTTGGGGAAAGGACTCAGACAACCCTGGGAGCACAGGTGAAGGCAGTTCAGCTGTGTGACCAGAAGGGGTGGAGCCTGGCTGCACCTCTCTTAGACCTCATTTAAGGGCTGACTGCCCCTGGTGAAGGGTCTCTTTTTGGAGGTCTCTTCTGGTGAGGTTTTCCTTTGCAAATATAGAATCTTCTGAGATGGGTAAGCAATCTTTTTCTTTTCCTTCTTAGTATCTGTCTGTTGTGCTACTCCTTCTGTTGTCTTACCTTTGTTGTAATACCTTTCTCATTGTATTAGCTGCCCACTTGCTGCAAATGGACAAGCAGACACTTCTCTTTGTTTTGCTTGACCAGGGGAATCTTAATAATCATTAGCGAAGTAATCATTAACAAAGCAGCCTGAACATTGTTGACTGTAATAATACTATATGCAGAAAGTATTCTGTTGAGTAGTTCTTTTTGCAGGTGCAATGTAACTTACATCTCATTGCTTATAGTTGCTGTAATTGCAAAATGAAGCTTCTGGTAGAGAGTCTTTATTAATACTGTAGCTATAAGAATTTGTGATTTTTTCTTATTTCTGTAAAGTATTCAAGTACTTTAGGGCTTTTTTCCTTTTTTTCAGAAAACATGGGTTCTGATCCTTTTTTATTTCTTATGAATTTTTTAACAGCTTTGTTGCAAGGCTGTATCAGTAATCTGGTGATGTTCTTGTGTGTTCTCCGGCCTGTACTGTGCAAGGACAACTGGAGCAGTGTTTCTGCAGGGCAAGGGAACATCATTTTTCAGTACTCTCAAGTTCCTGGCTCTGAAAGTTGAGCTAATCTGGAAGCAATACTGAAGGGCTTCATCTGGCACTCCCTGTAAAGAAGGATTTGTCTAAGATAGTGAAAGAATTTCTCCAGAAGTTACAATAAGCCTCTTCTTAGAAGTCTTTTCCTGTTCTGTGTTCTCATGGATATAGGTGGAGAACTTGTGTTTTTTGTGCTTTATCTCTTTGATCTAATGGCACTTCTACAGCATGTACCTTCTACAGTCATGCCCCCTGCAGAGAGGTTCAGGAAGCATTGGGAAGAAGAGCTGCTGCCTTTTGGTCTCCGAAAGGTGACCTGAAGTTTTACCTTGTGACTCAGTCTATCTTATTTCTGAATTTTGTGTAGTGAAAAAGAACCTGTATTTCCCTTGG